TAGAGTTTTGGATGTGGAAAATAGTTTCTGAGTGCTAGCAGAGCTGAGAAATCTGTCAGTGTAGAAAGGTTTCTTTGCATCAGTGATACTGGCAAAGATTGAGGACAGTAACGCCTGGAAACTCAACAGATCAGCAAGATCTTTCATTCGTGCCATTTCCGTTCCGCAGCTCTAAGATCGGTGCGTAGGGACCGGAGGGTATCATCTAGCCAAGGGTGCAACTGAGAGGATCTAATGAGTCTGGTGGCTAAAGGGCACAAGTTGTTGAGATATGAGCAGTGTGGAGAAGAGTGATTCAGTGGCATCACTCACTTCAAAGGCAGAGAATGTGCTAGAGTGGAGGCAACAAGAGAGGAGAAATGGTTGGTGCCAGATTGCGGCGGGTGTGGCGGAATGAGACCATTGGAGTGGACCTCCCCTGGAGAGTCAAGCACAAGAATGGAGGAGAGCAGGGCGTCTACTTCATCTAGATAGTACCTTAGTTGTCCTGGTTGTCGATATATAACAACCATAAAGAATTTTTTCGGTGCCGTTACCTGGATGGCATGGTATTCAAAGGGGGTGTAACGTCCAAAAGGGTCTATTTTCCCCGATATATTGACCGACATAATAACCTTTCATCTACAGAAATAAATCCACTTTCTAGGTGACCTTCTAAATCCAGAAGGTTCTGCTAAGCACGTGTTGACATTCCATGAAGACAAAAGATTCAAACAAACATTCTCACCCAAGGTTCTGCACTCACTGTGTGAACACAGTTCAACTCCTACAGTTGCAATCACAGATGATCTCTGCTCCCAATTTTTAAGTTTTTTCTTAGACAAAGTCTCCAATATTAGGAGTCTAATCATTTCCCCTGCAGATGTTCTGCTACCCGTATCAGTTTGTACCGGATGCTTTGACCATTTTGAGCCGATTACACTGCCTGCCCTGGAGAGATTAATATCTTCCATGAAGCCATCAGGATGTCCTGATGACATTGTACCAGCCAGACTCTTCCAGGAGGTTCTTCCAGTGGTAGCCCCTCATGTGCTCAATATTATTAACTCCAGCCTTGTTTCGGGAATTATACCCTCTGTTTTTAAACATGCCGTGCTTCAACCACTACTGAAAAAATCTGGCCTAGACCCAACTGACCTCAGGAACTTTCGCCCCATTTCAAAGCTCCCCTTCTTGTCAAAAGTGATGGAAAAGGCTGTTTATAATCAAATCATGCCCCATCTGAACAACTTTGGGGTCTTGCATAAATTTCAGTCTGGTTTTAGACAATATCACAGCACAGAATCCGCTCACATCAGGGTTTTTAATGATATTATTTTAGCCACTGATTCCGGTTCCCATGTTGCCCTGGTGATGTTGGACCTCTCAGCTACATTTGACACGGTGGACCATGACATTTTATTGTCCCGCCTTGAGAATTTGGTCGGCATTAAGGGATCCGCGCTTGACTGGTTCTGCTCCTACTTTGACAACAGGTCTATTAGAGTTAGAATGGACGACTGTTCATCTCCCGCTGCTACTCTTCCTTGGGGCGTTCCACAGGGGTCTATCCTCGGCCCCCTTTTATTTAGCATTTATATTATTCCACTGGGACTAATCTTCAGGAAGTTTAACATTAACTTTCATCTTTATGCGGACGACTGCCAGATTTATGTTCCATTGAAGGCTTTTACCTCCATCCAGCCGCTCCTTGATTGCCTGAGTGAGGTTAAAGACTGGCTGTCAGCAAATCTTTAGCTGCTGAATGATTTTAAGACCGAGTTTATTGTTTTTACTCCTAATGGCTCGTCTTCCTCCGCTCCTGATTTTTCTGTTCTTCCTTTTAAAATTAGTCAGACAATTGTTAATCTTGGAATTAAAATGGATGTGGCTCTAAAAATGGACTCTCACGTTAATCACATGGTTAAATCATGTTTTTATCAGCTAAGACGTCTTTCCAAACTAAAACCCATTCTGAATCGGCGCCACCTCGAGACAACCATTCACGCTTTCATCACCTCAAGGTTGGACTACTCCAACGCAATTCTGTTTGGTATTTCAAAAGCCGCATTATCTCGCCTTCAGCTGATACAAAATACGACGGCAAGATTTCTGACCAATACTGGCCGTCGTCAGCACATCACTCCAATTTTAGCAAGACTTCACTGGCTTCCTGTGCACTACCGCATACGTTTTAAAATTTTATTGTTTGTTTTTAAGGCGCTGAATGGCTTAGCACCACCCTACATATCCGAGTTACTCACTCCTTATGTGCCAGGCAGGACTCTCCGTTCAGGTGACCTACACCTACTACAGATTCCCCGTCAACGCTGCAAAACCCGTGGTGAACGAGCTTTTTCTGTCTGCGCTCCAAAACTTTGGAATGATCTCCCACTGAATATCAGAATCTCCTCCTCCATTGGGGTTTTTAAGTCCCACTTAAAGACTTATTTTTATTCTCTTTCTTTTACTACCTAGCTATTTTTCGATGGTTTATTTACACTGTTCTTTGACTGATTTTATTGACTTCTCATGGTTCTTTTTGTTCTGCTCTAGTTGTTTTATTCTTTTATATTATTCTTTTAACCCTATATGTTTTTACCCCTGTACAGCACTTTAGTCAGCTCACATGCTGTTTTTAAATGTGCTTTATCAAATAAATGGAATGGAAAATGGAATGGAATGGAACACTAGACATCAACATTCTTCACTCTGAATAAGTTAAAAAATCAGATGTGATGAATAAACAAGATGTTTAAATGAAATGTGTGAATAATCTGTGCTTAAATCAATGAATTTGAAATGAATGTGGCTCTTACAATGATCCATTTACTTCACAAATCAGTATGTGTTGATTTAACAAGTAAATCATTGTTTACACTCATACACATTACAATAAGATACATGTTAAGGTTAAAAACATCTTTGTATCTGGGGAGGGCGTGGCTTTCTGAGGCATGTTGGAAAATACTCAAAAATGTGTCAAACTCTGATTGGCCAAACTTGGCCAGAAATCATTACAAAGTAGTTCAATAAAACAAGAATTACTTCTCGAGTAATTCAGTTTCCAGCTGACTCTCGATTCGGAGTCAGCTGGAAAAACAGTGAAAATGATCAAAAACGCCGGCAGCCAGAGGCTTTCTGTTCAGAAGATGGCTGGCAGTGAATGCGTTAAAAGCTCAGCAAGTCTTTGCAGGTGTTTTCTATTTCACATTCTTTGACACTGGCTTATTGTTTTATTAAGCCCCAGCAGTGAAAGCACTGTGAAGGCTTCTTGTTCTTCAAATGTTTCTTCGTTTTTCTTCCAGCAAATTCATCGGGGTTTTGGAAGCCTTAACATTTTCAGAGACTCACCAAATTTTGCACACTTGTAGATCCTGTTGTAAAATGTTGTATTTAAAGAGTTCTGGAAAAGTTGCAATAAAAACGGCTCAACAGCTCCCCCTGAAAATGAAATATCAGCCTCCATTATTCTTTTTTTAATCGGTCAGTTATGAGAATCAACTTCAAATTTGGTGCAGGGTCGGGCTAGCTGTGGGGCTTTTCTGGTTTAGCTACCAAAATGCCTAAGTGGGGGTTTCTGTAGCAACAAGAAGGATAGAATGGATGGTATTGCTCAGCTGGACTCCAGGGGAATAAAGACAAAGACCCAGGTTAGATATCTTGGTGTTATCATTGACTCTGACCTGAGCTTCTCTGGACATATTAAGGCTATAACTAAACCAGTGTTTTATCACCTTCATCAAACATCAAGAGTCAGAGGTCTCATGTCCAGACCAGACTTCGAGAAACTTATTCATGCTTTTATTTCTAGTCGGCTGGACTACTGCAATGGTCTCCTAACTGGTCTTCCCAAAAGCTGTGAAGCAACTGCAGCTTATTCAGATCGCTGCTGCTAGAGTCTTAACAAGAACTAAGAGAACGGAGCACATCACTCCTGTTCTTAGATCCCTACACTGGTTACCAGTAAACCACAGAATAGACTTCAAAGTGCTACTACTAGTTTATAAATCACTCAATGGCATGGGACCAAAATACAAGTCAGATCTCATTCCTGTATGTAAACCCAATAGGGCTCTGAGATCCCTTGGAAACAATCAGCTGGTAGAACCTCGGGTCAGAACCAAACATGGTGGAGATGCATTTAGTTATTATGCTGCTCACATATGGAATCAGCTTCCCCATGACCTCAGATGTGCCCCAACCCTAGTGTTGTTTAAAGCACAACTAAAACCCTCATGTACTCATCAGCCTTTACATGAATCGTTTCTCCTGCTGCATCGTCTCCACTGTAACCTGTGCTGTAGCATTGTCTTCTCCTTTAGCTCTAAACTGTAATTCTATCTGTGTATATTTTAATTTGTGCTTTTATGTGTTTTCATATCATGTCCTGATGATTGTAAAGCACATTGAATTGCCTCTGTGTTTGAAATGTGCTCTAGAATAAAGCTGCCTTGTCTCACACGTCAACAACCAATCAGAACGAAAGTCAAATTACGTCATTGTCACAGCTGGACATGTCAAAGTAAAAGTCTACACAATGTTGCCATCACACTCTTCGATTTTGTCAGTTGCCCAGGATTGTTCACGTTACACTGAGGGAACTCCAGAAAGGTGGCACACTGTATGGCGCAAGATTTCAATGAGGCAGTCTGCACGACGTCTCTCTCCAGCAGGGCACGCTGCTGGATGAGCGCATCTCCCAAAAACGTACGTCACTAAGCAGACCGCTAACCGAAACAACGCTGAAGACATAAAATGGTGTCAGTTCATAACCCAGCTCATCTTCCTCAAAGAGGAGGAATCGTTTTCAGTTCAGTCTCCGGCTGCTGGACGCTCACCCGTCTCCTCCTCTCTTATACATGAAACCCACTAAACTACAGAGAAGTAACTGTCACCGATCGCTCCAATATCTAAAGTTCTGCCGTGAATTCTGTCTCACCGTTTACTCCGCAGCTCCATGACTATCTCATTTTAAAATGAAACAATTCAGGAGCGAATAAGAAGAAGGGGGCGTTCACCTTTCTTGTGCAGCTGCAGCCTCTCCTTCTGTCGGACGTCCATCTCCCTGGCCAGCACCTTTCTCTGGCGCTGCAGCTCATCGCGGAGGACAGCTATTTGCAGCTGCATGCACTCCCGCTCCTTCTTCTGCTCCCACAAACAAACAGAGGATAAGAGAAGATATTCAGCATGTGGTCCCAGCAAGAACCAGACCTAATTGCACTAAATTCTAACAGTCGTTGAGAAACAAGTTCTGTTTTTGAAGCCAGCCTTGAGTCTCATTCATTTAATACACATCTTCTGAGAAAATGTTGCAGTAAATCTACTGTCAGCAACGTATGAGGCAAAGAAACATTTTCACCTTGAGATCAGCGTGAGTATCACACCCGTTTCTGTAACTAGCCCCAGCCACGGGACTGCTGAGGAGGTCTGGCTGGGGGCGCGGGGGCAGCATCGTAACGGTTACCAGTTTAAGTAGAAAACCACTTACATCACTAACAGGATGAGGAGAAGAGGTCTGCTGCTGATGTATTCTCAGTAGCTTCTGCTGGAGCACGATGGACCAGAACCACAAGAAAACACACGAGAACCCGAAGAATTCACAAGTCGCACCAGGACACTAGCGTTAGCATTACCCTCAGAGAAGCAGGAAGCAGCTCAGGTGAGACGGGTGACCAGTCCAGGGTGTCCCACCCAGAGACCACAAGGGATGGACCCCTTCTCCCGTGACCCTTACTGGCTACAGAAGATGGACGGAACACTTCTGTGAAGTACTTTTGTTTTCTAAAGAGACTAAGGAAACATTCATGAACCACTTTATTTCATTCTGAAGATATTCTGAGTTTCTTTTGAAAAGTGTTTCCACTGCACTGTTGGAGCTGTGCTGATCCAGCCTACAACAACACTGTTTAGCTGTGGAATTCAAATGAAAACATGAAGTGAGATGAACACAAATCCGATGTGACTGGGACTGTGCTGGAAGGGCTGTTGGGCAGGTGCAGGACTTTTATGGACCGGTGTAACAGCGCATATGCCAAGCTTCAGACAGACGCCGTCTCCATTCATGTCCTGTTCTTTTTCCCAGACCTTCTATCTGCCCATTAAAGCTGCACCGCTGACCTCGGCCGCTCCACCAAAGCGTCCAGGCTCCTCTCGTCCAGCTACAAAAGATTCCTTTCAGGAGCTTGTCTGTGATTTTTCTGTCAGTAAAACATTCCCTCAAACCCCTTTGAGAGCTCCAACCAGCCAATATATTATAATCCTTGTCTCCTTCCTTCAGAGTGAGGGGGGCATTGTGTGGCTCCTCTGAGGGTCTCCACTTGGAGAGCTCGCTCCTTTACCAAGTCTGGATCAAAGGTGGGCAGAGGGGAGGCCAGCGGCCCTTTCACCCTCTCACCCACTCTCAGCCATTAATCTGCTGCTTATTTACTCAGCTGACCTCATTCTGTTTGATGTTCAGGAGTCAAACAGTTCCTGGTGGTGGCCCCCAGTCCCTCTGCTGTCCTCACACACAGACACAGGCCTGTGGGACAGCCAGGGAAGGTGTGGGAGTTAGAATCAGCCATCTTTCTGGCTGATTTCTCTCACCATCGCCCTCAGATCCACAGTGTGTGTGTGTGTGTGTGTGTGTGTGTGTGTGTGCGTGCGTGCGTGCGTGCGTGCGTGCGTGCGTGCGTGCACGTGCGTCTTCGAGTTTTGGATCAGACACATTTTTCACTTCCTCTGCTGCCACTCCAAACACATTCCTGTGTGGGATAACACACTGATGGTGCCACTGTCTGCATCAGTTTAAACACACACCTTTGTGTCTACACCTGCCTGACTTGACATCTTGTCAGGTTGATGTTAGGAGCCGCTGCCTGCCCTCAGTTTAGGCCCAGATAACTGTGTCTGCAGCGTTATACTCATGAGAACAATTAGTCACCATGTTGTGAGATGCTGAGCTTGTTGGTAAATAAAGGAAAACCACAGTTCCTATGACGCTGCTGGTTTTAAAACATCTTTATATAATCTTATCTAGGAAAGCTATAATCTGAAACATCATGATATTTTATCTTTTGCTGGCATGTAATAGCGGTGAGAATAGTCCTACTTGTACAGCAGTACGAGAGCAGATAGCAGGAACGTTGCTCTGCCCCCAGCAGGACAAAAAAACCCGAACCTTCAGAACAACACACAGTGTGTTTACATGCAGCCAGTAACCCTTTTAAAACCCGAATATTCACAATAACCCGGTTCCGCAGGTCCTTGAAAACACCGCCAAAAACCCGGATATGCTCATAACCCAACCGGGGGTAACCCTTTTCTAACCCGAATGTTTGGTCGTGTAAACGCATATCGGGATATCCCCATCAAAGCGTGTGTTCTGCAAATGCTCTGTTCGCAAGGAATCTTGGTCTTTTGAGTAGCGAGACGTCTTGTATGCGCCAGAACACCGGAAGTAAACAACAAGTTGGGGGCAAAATGGCGAGTCGCGGCACAGCACCACACTTTGAGTGACGAGGAAACTAAAGCGCAAACAAACGCGGTCACTATCTCTTCTGAACTGGGAAACATGTTGTTGTTTTCACGGATACCGGAACAAGAAGAACCGGAAATGACGCATATTGCATCTGGACGTAGTCCATACGTCCTGACGCTACCCCAACGTCCGCAGTTAAATCGGGTTATGCAAGTTAGAGGTAACTCTTTCTATTTATGCTTGTAAACGGGTTACTCTGATCAACTCAGAAACCCGAATCCCGACCTTAACCCGATCATAACCCGGATATTGGCTACATGTAAACGCACTCACAGTCAGTCTTAACAGATGAAGGTCCCACAAATGTTAAAAATGCCAAGTATGAATTCCTGTGTAGATGTGGGTCCTTGCTGAGGACAGGGCAAGAGGTTCTGGTATCATCACTCAGCCACAGGGAAACGGTCTCGCTCCACCGTCCTGTCCTTCCAAGGAAGCACACGCTAGCTGTGCACCAACATAAATCCTAAAGAATGTCATTGTGCAGGAGAACCCAGAACAGCTGTGCTCACTGCTGCACATAAACAACACAATGCAAAAATCCTCTCTAGAGTTACCTGCTGACGCGACAGCATCAGTGTGTGGTCTGATGAGGCCGGTTAGGGTTAGGGTAGGCTGTGATGATGTTCAAAAGGACCCAACAAAATTACACTGGGTGATCCCATCTCAGTCCTACTGTGGATCAGCGCCTTACGGTGCTGACTATTACAGGAGAAAACATGAACTCTGCTGATCTTCATGGTGTTTCTGAGAAAACAAACCAACTTCAGGTTTTCTTCACTAATTTCAGTGTCTCCGCTATAAGCTGCTGAACTAACACCGAACCCAATCAGCTGCCTGGAGCGGTCACAAACAGAAACCGAAGGGTGGTGAAGCTCACCCGCTCGGTGCAGGCCGCTGTCGTCCTCAGTTTCTCCTCGATCTCCTTGCCGATCCTCTGGACAGTCACCTGGGTCTGTTTGATGGCTCTCTGAGCTGTGTGAAGCCTGTCGGGGCAGCAGAACAAAAGATTGCATAAGATCATCCTCATGGTCGTTTTTGCTCCACACTGGCCCACATAACTGACTACGTTCCCTCCCTGTGAATATTAATGATCAGTTCTTACAGTAAATGTGAGAACACACCAATGAGAACCTTCTCATTAATACGTTTACAGATGAGAAAAGAAAGGAACTCCAGAAGCAAACCAACACACCACTTCTATGTAAACGGTCCAAGAATGGTTCAGATCCAGATGAAACACTTCACCAGACCTGGACCAATCAGTCCCACAAAGCAGAAACTAACCCTCACAGCCCAGCAATTAGTCACAACCACAAAAATGGAAGCCCATTTCTAATTTCCATGTCACTGTCATCACTGAAATGGAAAACAGCAGCATCTAAACATCCACAAGCAAACGCATCATTCAGACCATCAATCACACAGTCTGTGCTTCCAGAGAGAACCCACTCAGAACAACGAGGAACGGTAAATGGTCTGTACTGTATTGCGCCTTCTTAGGGATCTACAACCCCCCCAAAGGGCTTCACAACACAATCAGTCATTCACCCATTCACACGCTGGTGGGGATGAGCTACGATGTAGCTACAGTTGCCCTGGGGCAGAGGCGAGGCTGCTGAGCACTGGAGTCCCTCCGACCACCACCAGCAGGCAAGGCAGGTCTTGCCCAAGGACACAACAGCAGCATTCTCTGGTCAGAGCCGGGATCGAACCTGCAAGCTTCCGATTACTGGACAACCCGCACTACTTCCTGAGCTACTGCAGTCCCTACAGGAACATCAACATCAGCACAGCTGTGGAGCCGGAGGCCATCCCAGAGCTGGACACCTCACCACTATGAACAGCTATTGGGGAGGATCATCCAACACGGCGGATCCTACCATCTGGATGGATTGGGGTTCATTCCTGGCAAGGGGTCTGAGATTTGGGCCAGACTCTGCCCGGCATAGACCTGGTGTACTTAAAGAGGGAGTCTCTGTGTGTTTCTTAATGTCAAGGACCCTTGCCTTGGCCCCGCCCCTGTTGCCTAGATGATGCATCATCAGGAACCGCCAAGGAGTGTTCCAATGTTCATGTGCCACGGAGGCATCTGTCTTCAGTTTGTCTGCTGGGTAGCTAACTGACTAAGGATGCACGGGAGGGGCTTTGTTTGCTTCTCTCGGTCAAACATTTCCCAGACTACCGCACAGTATTTTCAAAAGGATGGTGGACCAGGAGCCAGCAGCCACTTCAGGGGAAAACTTCCAGTTTAAATTCAAGTCAACTAATTGTAGCTATCGGGCTGAAATCTAAAATGTTTTTTTAGATTTAAAGCAGTTATCTATGGCTGGTTAGTTGCTTAGTAGTTGCAGCTTCGGTGCAAGGTACCAACTCGCTTATACCTTTGATTTGACCAATATATACACAAAAAAGAACAGATCTGATCAGTCATTTGCATTAGGGGTGGGCGAAATGGAAAAGTTATCACATCAGGATTTTATCACAATTTTTTTTAGGATTTCAGAATCCTAAAAATTCTAATATCCATCCATCAGTGTATCTATCTATCCATCCATGCATCCATCCATATCCATCCATCCATCCATGCATATCCATCTATCTATCCATGCATCCATGCATATCCATCTATCTATCCAATTATCTATCCATCTATCTATCTTCATCTATCTATCCCCATCTATCCATCCATCCATCCATCCATCCATCTATTCACAGTTGAGAGCTAGAGATACATGTCTCAAATATCCCATTGGCACTTTCATTTAATTATATATTTATAATTAATATCAAATAATTTTAATTCTATCTAGAGGTGGCTCATATTCTATCATCCACAATTTTAACAGTAATTATTTCTTGTCCAGAGAAAAATAAATCTACCATGTTAAGCTAAATTTATGATGCATCCTTATCTCACGCATCCTCTAGTCAGGATAACAGTCCCTATTACACCCTATTTGTCCCTCACTCCTCTCCGTAGCGGTTTCCTGACTACGTGGGAGAGGGTTTAGCCATAAACAAAGATCCAGGCGGCAGCCACGGTGAAAACAAACAAACAAACACACACACACTGTAATAAAAATGAACTTGTCATCTGTTGTATAATTGCTTTATACAAGTTATTGATCACTACTGTTTGTCAATCACACTTATCATGAGGATGTAATCAAGGAGAGCCGAACATAATGTGATCATGAGGATGTAATCAAGGTAATCCTGATGGAGGTGTGCAGCTTTGCACGCACATCAGGGAATGTATAAGGAGCAGAGCAGAGCTCAGAGCTGTTAGAGCTGTTTGAAGGATTCTATTTGACGAGGTTCATGGATTACGTTTTCTAACTGGGGTGTTCAGCTCTCCACCCATAAGCAACGGTAAGAGAAATGTTTTGTTCATGATTGATAACTTGTATGAATGCTGGTTGAATAAAGCCTTGTTGTTCCTCTAATATTCAAGTTGTGTTTCATTGTTTCTGGCGTCGACTTGACAACGATCCTGATTAAATAAATATAAAGTGTAAAAAGAGACTTTGAGTCTTTTAAGGTAATTAAAATAAAATAAAACATTTTATTTTAGAACATTTTTGGCGTCACGAACAGGATCAGTCAAGCTATTCCAGCAACAATGAAGTGTTTTTGGAGAAGCAAAAAGGAGCCGAGTGCTTCTGGGGAGGGAACGCCGATTCCCGTGCCGATTCCCGGCTGGGAAACGGAGGAGTTCCGATCCATTGGTGATATGTTAAGGCAGCGCGGTGGACGCCCTGGGCCGTGGGGAGAGTTAAATGGAGTGGTCAGCCCCGCCGTGGTGCTGGACCGTTTGACGCGGATAGAAGTTAAAAAAAAAGCGCCGCTGGCAGGAGTGAGAGATATGATGTGGCTTTTTGCAGAAGCATGGAAAAAACAGGAGTTAGAATTGAGCAGTTGTAGAGAGCGAGCGGCGCAGGAGAAAATCCATGCTGAAGAAGTTGAGAAATCATGCTCAGAGTTTGAGCAGAGAGTGTGTGTGATGGGGAAAGAGCTAAAGCATGCTCAGAATGTTTTGGATAAAACGCTGACTTTTGTGTCTCGAGCGCAAAGGAAGGAAAAGAAGCGACCTCGTAGAACAGGTCCTGCTCAGATCCGGGCGTTTGTAAAGAATGTTGGTGAAGATTGGGACCCGCAGAAATGGAACGGGGATCTTTGGGGGGATGATGAGGAGGAGGAGTGGGTGATTAAACCTGACCCACCACCTCAGCCCTTGTATCCATCATTACAGAGGATAAAGATGTCAGAACAAAGACCTATTACTAGGCGTCGGCGAGAACAGCAAATTATTCCACCAATACTGGTAGATATGGTGGATGATCAGGGACGGCCGGAACTCGATGAGGCGGGTAATATAAGAAGGATGTTACAACAGCAGCCACAACCCGCCCCTAGGCTGCTAACAACGCTAGAGGATTATTCACAAGATGAGTTAAATCACATGAATGGGAAGCTGAAACAGCGCCCAGGCGAACCAACTGACTCCTGGCTTAATCGCCTTATGGAGGATGGCGCGTGTGATATAGCCATAGATGCCGGTGATGCCATGAGATTTTCAGGATTAAGTACTGATGCACAGATAAATGCTGAATACAGGGCTACAGTCCGGGCATTGCCAGCTGATGAAGATTTCAATGTGGGGGATGCATATGCTCTGGCATGTCATGTAATCTATCCTACCACGGCGGACTGGTCTGAGATTAAAGGGCAATGGCAGACAGTGAGAGATGCCATTCAGCGGCTCACCAGACTCACTATTAGAGAGCAAGTGGCTCGAAACGGGGGAGCTGGAGTGGTGGACTGTAACATCTCTAAGGCAACTAGAGATCACCTCATCAGACATGCCCCACCACATTATAAACCCATGGTGACCAGCTTGTTGTTTGGCGCGGCAGACCAGACTTTTGCCGCGATAAAAGATCGTCTTGGCGAACTCACCACGCTGGGTGATTGGTCTGAGACGAGGAGAGAGGGAGCTAGAACTGAAAATAAACCCAGGATTGATCCACATTCAAGGGGTCGTAAAGGGGGGGCAATGGGCCCCTCTAGAACAGATCTGTGGAGGGCACTGCGACAAGCGGGAGTGCCGTTTGAGGAGATTGATGGATTGCCCACTAATGCATTGATGGAGAAATGCAGCCAAATGGGACTGAAGGTCCATTGTCAGTTCAGACATTGTCCTGAAAAGGACGACAGGATGTCTGTGTCAGAATTGGTTGGAATGTTGCAGAATGTGATCAGGGAGGTGGCGTCGAAGCCTGCTGAACCTTCCGCCCCTCCCAAGGAATCTTCAGAGGAGGAGAGTTCAGATGAGTGTTATCAGGTGGCGGCAGTGAAGCGTAGAAAGAAAAAACAGCACCGAAGGGAACATGATGATGAATAGGATGAAGGTCAAGCTCAGGTTGTTGCCAGTGCCTCAGGATGGTCAATAAATGATATCAGACCACATGTGGAATTACAGATTTATTGGAAAAAATCAGTACAGACAGTAATGGCATTGGTTGACACTGGGGCGGAGGCCTCGGTAATTCATGGCAATCCTGATAAAATAAAGGGAAACATTGTAGAAAAAGGAGTATCAATGCTCCACGAGCAAGTGGCAGACGTTCCAGAAATGGATGAAGTGCCTTTTGAGGTAAAACCAATCCAGGATTCTCCTGTGAAACTGGGGGTAAGATGGAGCGAACTCACCCCAGAGCAGCAGGAGCGAGCCTGGTTCACTGATGGTTCCTGTCAATATGTGGCAGGAACCAGGAAATGGAAGGCTGGGGCATTTAACCCTGGTACACAACAAGTTATGGAACTCACAGGGACAGGAAAGAGTAGTCAATGGGCGGAGTTGAAAGCAGTACACATGGTAATAATGGCGGCTGGGGTGCAGGGAGTAAGTATTTATACTGACTCCTGGTCAGTAGCCCAAGGAATGTTAACTTGGATGCCAACTTGGCATGCTACACAATGG